GGCAGGGACGGGGCTTGTGCCACGTGGCCGACAGCCCCGGTCCCAAGGGACCCCCGGGGTGCGGGGAGGGGGGTGTCCGGTGCTGGCACAGCAGCAGCAGGGCGCAGGCAGCCATCCGGCGAAAATCTGCATCCCTGCTTATGCAACGCCGCTGATTTATTCATGCCTGAACCGGGTACTGGCCTAGAAATTAGCCTCGGCGATGCCGGGGAGGGGCAGGGCTGGGAAGATGCTGGGGGGGGGAGCCCCGGGGGAGGGCTGAGCCCCAGGGGAGGCACATGGGGCACCCAGGGGACCCTGCAGGGGTGCTCACCCCACAGCCGGTGATGCCGGATGGGGCACAGGGTGCTGCCATCCTCAGCACGGTCAACAGGGCTGCGGACTGGCACAAACCCCCCGGGAGAGGCAGGGAGGGGGCTGATCCCCTCTTCTCCTCCCGCATGAGATTTTGTGTGATCGATCAATTTACGCACAGCAGGTTCCAGCGCCCGTCCGGGGCAGGAGACGGCGGCACAAGGCTTCGGGTGGCCCAAGCGGAGGCTGCGCAGGGGCGGAGGACGGAAGCGGCGCTCAGGAAACGGTCGTTAGAAAAAGCAACAGCAGTGAAAACAAGCACGGTGCCCGGCCTTTCCCGGCAAAACGGGGCTACGTGCTCCTCCCCGTCCCTGCTGCTCGTTCGGAGGGCCCAGAGGGGCAGCTCAGCGAGGGGGGAGTGGAGACCGGAGCGGAAAGGAGCCCGGCAGGACACAGCCACCCTCTGCCTCTCTGCCCCAGCCAGCAGCACCCCGGGGCTCGTGCCCCGAGACACCCACGGCAAGTGCCAAAGCAGAGGCAGGGGAAGGGGCATCCGTGGGTGCCTTGGGACTGCATCCCCCCGGGAAGCTGCAGCTGGGAGCCCACGCCAGGACAAATGCCAGCATGGGGAAGTGACCGAGCTCCCCCACAGGGTGACAATGGGTCCCTCTGCCCCTCACCCTCTGGCTCCACATCACTGCAGGGTCTCTCTGACCTCCTTCCCAGGAGGAAAGGGGCTCTGGCACTGCTGCCGTCACCCACTTCCCACCAGCACCAGGAGGGATGGGAATCACCCTGGGACCCCGATGAGCAAACATCTGCTCGTGCCCCGCACCGAGCCCCGGCATCCTTGGAGGGAAAAGGCTGCAGAGGAGCGGTCACACGCTCCCTGCTGAGAGGAAACAGATGCCGCCGGCCCGGCCCAGGCATTTCCCGTCCCTGTCAGGGGGTGCTGAGAGATTTGCAGGTAGCAGAGGCTGCGGGATCACGTCCTGCCCTACCTGTGCCTCCCCGCATCATCCCGGGGTATTTTGTTTTCGAAGGGGAAGCGAGGCGCAGAGCTGGGCACCGTCAGAGCCAGCACTCACCTGCTCAGGCTGTGGGGCAACAAACAGCTCCCACCTCCACCGGCCAGTGGGAACGGGGGGGCCGTGACCCCAAAATCTCCATCTTTTCGCAAGAGGAGGCTTCTGTCCCCCAGCTCAACCCTGACCCTGCAGGTCCCACACATCCCACCACGGGGAAGGACGCACGAAGACGGGGTAGGGAGGATCTGCCGCCCGCTCATCCCACACGGAAGAGCAGCACGCGCCCCAGGAGGGACAAATGCACCAGCAAAGAAAAAGAAGTCATGGACGGCAGTGGGACAGAGGCCCCCCCTTCCCCCAGGGGACACAGAGGGAATGGGAACAGCTGTAGAAACCAGCGCAGATTTATTGTTAAAACACAACCACCAAACACCCACGGCCGCGGCACCGGGACCAGGCTGTGAAAACCGAGGGTAGAAGGAGGGGAGAGCCCGACTCCGGCGCCACGCACATGGGTGTCCGCTCCCCCCGAGCGCCCCGGAGCACCCCCAGCCCTGCACGGCAGGGTGGTCAGTTGTTGGCCAGCAGCTGCTTTCGCTGCTGCTCCAGGAGGGCTTCCAGGTGGTCGGCTCTCTGCACGGCCGCCTGCAACAGAGCACAGGAGAGGGAGAGCTGGCTGCCTCCCTGGGCAGAGCCGCAGCCCGAGGGACAGGGGGGGCCGGGGCTGGCCGCCCCCCTCACTCACTTCGTACTGCTTCCGAAGACTGCTCATGCTCTCCTCCTTCCTCATGACCGCCGTCTTCACCCTGAACAGATAGACAGAGAGGCTGAGGACCCCGTCCCTAGTGCCCAGCCCCAAACAAGGGGTTGGTCCCGTGTCCCAGGGGGTGATTTCAGCCCCTCTCCCCGCCCCCGGCACGCTGCAGCAAGCCAAAGAGCAGCGGCTCTGGGCTCGGGGTGCCGTTACACACTAGAAGCGCCTTTATTCCCTTGGTGAGCGTTACGTAGTTCGGATCAAGTCAGCTACAGGAAGAAGGGGACATTAGCTTCACAAGACTTAATTAATTAACAGGACCACAGGGAGGGGATTTTAAGTTTCTTCCCATTTCTCAAGCCCACGGTTGCTGCCTCATGGCTGGACTCTTCCCCACAGCTCTCAGAGCACCAGACTTTCTGCGTTTCAACCTTTGCCAGGCTGCACATAAGGGACGGAAGGGGAAAAGGGATCCTTCTTATCTCATACTCAAGGTATGATCCTGGCTCTCAGAGTGAGTGGGAATCACTCAGCAGGATCCAGGAAAACCATCGAGCTCTGTGTGCTCGTACAACAGCCTCTCCTTACAGCTGGTGGTGAGCAGCTCCGTACAGGCACCGACAGGAGGACGGCTCTGCACCACGCTGGAGCTGTGAGCGCAGCGCTCTGCCCCACGCAGAAAGAACTCCCGCAGGGGACGATGCACTTCCCCTTCCGATTCTCCTTTCACTTGCAAAATGTCTCTCCCCCGCAGGCAGACTCGAGGGAAGAGGAAACCTTACATCGCTGCCTGACGCTGAGCCCGGCTCCCAGCACCGTGTCCCCGGTGAGCGCAGGACGGAGCAGAGCCCCATGGCACAGCCCCGCACAGCCCCTGCTCCCAGCAAACCAAGTCTTGGGGTGCTGTGCAGCCAACAGCCAGAGTCCCCGGCACATTTTGGGGATGTCACAGCTGCCCTCGACCTCTGCGGCTGTGCAGCCAAGCTCTGACCCAGCAGTGGGCTGCTCCCTCCCCTCACTCGGAGGGGGGAATCAGTTGCCTGGCTCCTCTGGAGCAGCAAATCTGCAGAAGGAGATGCCACAGCTCCAATCACAGGTACCACAGGCTACTCAGGAGCTGACCGTGAGCCCGGCCGGCTCGCCGTGCTCCTGCCAGGGAGGCACCGCAGACAGAGCTGCGCACCACTGGTCTTCTCCTGGCAGGAGTCCTCACACCGCTGCAGCTGCCTGCCCCGACACTAATGTCCTGCAGGCCTGCAAGGCCCTGGGGACAGGATGACACAGAGCAGGCTAGAAGTCACAAGGGCCAGAGGATTCACGGTGGCTGAGCAGACAGCCCGCTCGGGTGAGACTCTGCTGCCTATTTTGCCCCGACAGGACTGGAAGCTGTGCCTGAGGACGCAGCACTGCGGACACGCTCCGGCAATGCACCCTGGGCCACCTCTGCGCCCGCAGCCCCAGCCATGAGCGCAGCCCGGGGCTGCGAAGCCCAGGCAGCCTCACCTCCTGTGAACCTCTTCCAGCTCTTTGTCCTTCTCCCGCACTACCCTGTCCAGCTCCAGGCGCTGTCGGGCTTTCATCTCCGCCATCTCCGCCTGTAGCCGCTTGTTCTCCTCCTCTGTCCCCACCAGCCTGTCAGCAAACTCCTGCCGGATCACTTCTGCCAGGCTGCTCCGCTCCTGGGACAGCTGGTCTCTCACCTGCAGCAGGGCCCAGAGGTGACACCAAGGCACGGACAGGCACAGGACGATGCAGAGGGACAGAGCCAGGCAGGGCAGGGAGCAGGGAAAGCTCACCCACCTTCTGGATCTCCTCCACCTCCTGCTCCTTGTGCTTCAGCAGGCCCTGCAGACGAATGTTCTCCCCTTCCAGCTCTGCCAGCCGCCCCTTCAGCTCATTGCAGCGCTCCTGCAGCTTCCGCTCGGACCTCTCCAGCTCCTGGAGCTCTACTTCATACTTGTCTCGGATCCTCTTAATCCTAACGGGAGAAAAGGACAGGCAGCCTGGCTCAGCAGGGACCATCCCCAGCCACCTTCGTGCTGCAGGAGGGATCACAACACAGCAGCAAGGTGGGGGGAAAATCTGCCCGGTGGGAGATCCAGGGCTGTTTCCTCAGTGAGAGGTACACCTCACCCCTGCAAGCTGCTCCTGCCCGCACCCGCAAGCTGCAGCATCCAGAGCTCACTGGAGAGGTGTGTGGGGCTCAGGGGAAGGGGACCAGCCCGTGAGGAGCTGGGACTTGCAGGCTCCCTCCTCCCTCTTCCCACTACCTGTTCTCTGCTGCCCTCTCGCACTCCTCCTTAGCCGAGGACATGTCAGCCTCAAGGCGCTGGATCACCAACTCGATCTCTTTGTCTCTCTCCTTCCTCATCTCCTCCCGCAGCTCCCGCTCCCGGGAGAGCAGCCAGGCTTCCTGGGGACAGAGATGGCAAACGTTGCCTCGATCCCTCCCTGAGCCCGAGGGTGTCACCATCAGCGAAGGGCAGCCCTTGCTATCACCTCCTTCTTCACATAGTTTGCCTCCCAGGCCTGCTTCTCGATCTCCAGCCGGTCCTTCAGCACCTTCACTTCTGCCTGCCGAGAGACAAGATGA